GGGGGGGGCGGAAAGGAACAGGAAAAAAAAGAAACCAGCCCGCGGCATCTTCGACGTACCGAGCAGCCCAGCAGGAGAGAGTACCCCGGCACCGGCAGAGGGTCCCCCTGGCTGAAATCATCTACGGGGCTAGCGGAGCATGACCTGCCCGTTATTCCTTTGTGATGGGCTTGTCGGCATTTTCTGTAGCAGCAGAGTTTCTGTAGCAAGCAGACAGGTTTTGCTCCTTCTACCTCAACACCTGAGGGCAGGCGGCGCTTGGAGCACAACCCAGTGTCCAGGTCCCCCGTGCCCTGAAAGGTGAGCACTCACGAGGGTAGCTTTAGGTTTTTGTGTGCTCTTTTAACATCGCTTCTGTGCACAGATACAAATAAAGAAAATGAAGTATTTTACAACATTATGGCTGCGTTCTGCCCTTGAATGTTTCCTGTGCTACAGTGCCAACTTGGATAGGAGCACGCACCTGGGTTACAGCCCTGCTAGAAAACTAAAAAACAGCTGTTTTTTTATTCCACACTTTGTTTTCCTAGCCTTATGTCAGTGTATCTACTTTTTTTCTTTTTTTTTTTTTTTTTTCCTTGGGCCACGACCAAGCTAGCACGTGCCAGTTTGAAACGGGGAATGTCACTTTCGGGCATCATTATTTCGTGGGGGCTGGAGTTAACTGCAGGGGAGAACTCGTTCTGTGCCAATGCGTTTCCTCTCCCAGCTGTGTTTGCACACTGCCAGCAAATAAACGAGTAGAGGTAACAAGTAGCAAAGAGTTTATTCAACATTCAGTGTGTCCTTTCACCATTATCTTCATGGATCATCCTCCAAATAAATAACACAGTACGCGAGATTCAGTATATTATTTACATGCTGGATTTAAAACCAACCGAAACAAACAGCACAGGGACAGCACAGCTGACACGATATATAACATCATTTGCGAAACGCCATCTAATTTTCAAACTCAAGTGACACTAAGGCTTAGAGGATCAGACTCTGCACCGACTGTACGGAGCGCAGACGGCAAAGCCAGAGCGGAGCCAGCGCCCAGCGCCGCGGACGCGGACAGTAACGAGGGCTGGCGCGGCCGCCACCGCCACCCGCCGTCAGCCGTCACGCCCCAGCCAGTGGCACTTCTGGGCCACCTCCGGAGGTAGGAGGAGCGGCAGGGACTGCCCGTTCAGAGACACTAGGAGCTGTAACTGGTCCATGCAGTCCCGCAGGGTCTCCTCCGGGTAGCCGCTGACTCGCAGGTCCAGAGGGCTGCGGTGTCGCAGCAGCCGGTCCGCTAGGCCCAGGCTGCCGGCGGCCAGCAGGGACGGCGCGTATTTGGTGAAGGCGTAGTCGGCCAGGCTGAGCTCCGCGACGCTCCCCGCCAGGCTCCGGGCGTCCGCCGCCTCCGCCGCGTCGGCCCCCCGCGCCTCTAGCCGCACCTGGCTGAAGTGCTCCAGGAAGAAGCTGACGGTAGGCGCCGCCAGGTTGAAGCCCAGGCGGTTCAAGACGATGCACTCCAAGTTGCGGAGCTGCTGGCGGGTAAAGGCGCCGCAGCAAAGGGCGAGGAGCTCCTTCACGCTGGGAGGGTGCACCTCCACCTGCGAGCGGGGACAGGGGTGGGGAGATCGCCGCCGGAGAGCAGCGCGGGGGAGCGGGCGCGGAGCCCTGCCCGACTGGGGCTGAGCTCGGGGCCGCCGGAGCTGCTCGAGCTGCAGAGACCCCAGCGGGCTGCAGAGACCCTGGCAGCGGGGCAGCCAGACCCCAGGGCCGCCCTACCTGCTTGGAGGCGATGAGCAGCGCCGTTACCCCTAGGAGCTGGAAGCAGTCGGCGGCCACGGGGGTGGTGGCGAGGAAGCGGTCGAGGATGTTGACGGCCAGGCAGAGGGCCTCGAAGGAGAGCCCGAAGTGCCGGTGCACGGCGATGAGCCAGCTGACCAGCTTGCAGCGCGCTTCCGCCGTCACCTGCGGCACCGGCAGCGGGGTCAGGTGGGACCAACCCGGGGCTCCTCCGCCCACTCCCCGCCTCCGGCCCCGCTGCCCCCACCTGCGGCTGCCGGGCCAGCGGCTCCTGCGGCTGGAAGCGGCTCTCCAGCCTCTTGTGGGAGCGGTACCAGCTCTCTCCATAGTCACGGAAAGCCTGCAGCTCCTGCGGGCTGTCCCCCACGGCCCCCGCCGCCGTCTCCGGGCGCCGCCGCCGTGGCGGGCGGCGCGGGCAGCGCCCGGGGGAGCCGCCCGGCCCCCGCCGCTCCGGGGTGCCGATGCCGCTACCGCACCGCCCGCTCGCCGCCGTCACCATGGGGCGGGCGGCCGTGCCAGCCCCGCTCCGGGCGCGGACGCGGCTATTTGAGCGGCGGGGCGGTCACCGCCCGCCCCCCCGGGCACCTCGCCCCGCCCTCTGCCGGGCACCGCAAGGACCGCCGCCTCCTAAACAAGATCTGAGTCACCCAAATACCTGTCTCTTCTCTGCAGCTTGCCATCGGGCCAGACGGCTGCGGTGGAGTCGCCGTTGGTCTGCGACCTCCCGACCACGGCCGCTCTCTCGGGCAGGGCACGGAGAGCAAACTGGGCAGCAGCGCCATAAAACCACGGCAGGTGAAGCTGCCATGGCTTCTATTTTGACACTACTAAATTAGGTTTCTCTACAGTTTTAACAGCTAGACTGCTCTGTTTAGGTAACACTTTCATTTGAAATCAGTAGGAAACAGCACAAACACACCACGGGAGATACCTGGGAACGAAGGAGATCTCTGGGCCATCTGGGTCTTCACTACACTTCCATCCATGGACTATTTATGCAGTGGAGCATTATTGTAAATAGCTGAATGCAGGGAAATTTAAATACTCCTGCACTCCAACCACCTGTTTGCAGTCTGCTATAAATGTGGAAAGACTTGCAGAAAGAAAAACAAAACCTCTCCTAGGTTGAGCACTGGGAAAGATGTCATTGGGAAACAAGAGCTTCAAGCAACCCAAACAACCCAAGAACAAAAGAGGGGAGTAGGGGGGTGTCATGGGTTGAGACTGGCCCCCCTGAGAGTCGGGAGCACAGAGGTGATCGAGTGCCAGAGCAGTGTTCCCTGACAGCCAATCACTGCTGGTCTTGTTTGCTGCTGCTGAAAAATCATATACACACAACCACCAGAAGCTGTTGGCAATTCTGTCTGTCTGCTGCTGTGTGTGGGTGGAGAAGGCTAGGGGGTGGCTGGGCTTCCTTCTTTCCCCCCTCCGGAGAGGGAAGGGGAGCCCTGTGGCCCCCCAACTCTGCCTAGGCCAGAGTTGGAGGCAGCATTGGAGTGTGTTTGTTGTGAGGAGAGAGACTCACAACTTTTGAGGTAAGCAGGAGAGAGAGAAGGCAGGCCTTGCAGCCAAGCCCTCTTCTTCCCCCCCCCCCCCCCCCTTTTTGCAGTCAGGCCGTAGAGGGGGTTTTTAATTTCCCTCCCACCGTGAATGGAGGAGAGGCTCAGCACTGAAGCAGAGCCAAGTGGATGGGCTGATAACGAAAGCAGCTCGGTGCCAGGGAGAAGAATCCCAGGCAAAATTGGAGACGGACTGGAGAAAGGCCTGGAGGATGTCTTTGCTGTGATCTAAACGGACAGCCGAAAACTTGGAGGAGGAATCAACATTCCAGGATGCGTACGTTGATAAGCTAACTGAACTACAGCAGCCTACAAAACCGAGGTATGAGACTGAGAGAGAGAGATCACACAGCAGAAATGACACAGAACCAAAGAGAAAGGACTCAAAGCTATCTTCTTGGACTTCATGAGGAGAAAGGACTTCAGCAACCAGCTGGAGGTTGGTGAGGGAGTGTTTCAGGTTCGCTGAACACTCCCACGAGAGAGAGACTGCGTTACGTATCAGCCTTGAAAGGCTTTTCCTGGACTAAAGTTAAAAGGAGAAGCTTCGAAGGGACTGATAGAAGTGTAATATAAATATATATATATATAGTTGCTTTTAGCTTGTATAGTATTTATTTGTGTAAATAAAATGTATATATGCTTCCCCCTTCCCCTATAGAAGCCTCTGGCCTGAAGGTTTTCTCTTCACTGTTGAGATAAATTGTGGGAAAGGGTGGGGGAAGCCTGGAAATTGGATTTCTAATGTGGCTCAAACTGCCACAAGGGAATTCTGCAACTTCAATAGCAGGAGCAGGAACTCCTCTCCAACATGAAGACAGAGACCAGGAGAACATGCTGCGTTTAAAAAAAACTCTGAAGATGCCTGTTGAGACTATGGTGACAAAGATCCATACCTACTGACCACTCTTGTGGCTGACAAATGCTTCAAGAGAAACAACACAACAGTGTTAACAGAAGTCTTTATTAAATAAATCAAGCAAAAGAGAAAGTTCATCCAGCCAAAAGAGCACAGGCCCCCAAAAGTTGCTCATGTATACTGCAGAAGTAGAAAGCCACCATAGTATTTGTTTGTTTGTTTTAAGATAACTGTGCTTATCTGTAAACCACAGTGTGATTTCCTTAATCTGTTTTGCAGAAAACTGTTGCTCACTCAGAAGACCGTGGAATTTCCTATTTATTACAAAATATCCCCTTAATTTAGTTCATCAGGGCATGCTAGAGAACACAAAGAATAACTGAATTTCAACATTACTATCCACACATAGGAAAAAAGCTCTCTGTTCATCACAGTTGAATAAGGGAGAACTCAAGGACAATTCACACTTTCCTAGGATTTAGCAATTTAAGACCAACAACTGATATGCAAAATTCAAATCCAAAAGGAAGAGGAGCTTGTTAGTTACTGAATTACTGAAATATTTTTCTAGTTCATGTTTGCAAAGGACACAAATAAAAGATCTCAAGTGAAACAAAACGTACAAAATTATCAGAGTGCAGATTTAGTTCATATCTTCAATGAATATAGTTTGCAGGTTTTTATTTCAATGTCTGGGAATACAGAAAGCAAAAATAAGGTCTTAAGATCAAAACTTAACTGTTTAAATGCTTCCTTGCCTAAATGTGTTAAAAAACAATCCAGAACCCAGTTTCTGTCTCACCTATGAAACCAAGAATACCACTAGTTTATCACAACGCATAAATGATTAACAGATGTGATCACTTTTCCTTCAAAGTTCTTAATAAATTCCTATTACAACTTGCCTTTTCCTGATCTAAGTATAGGGTAACATCCACAAGCTGGTTTATTTTCAGCTCATGTTTCTCTCAGCACAGCAATACCAGTTGTGCTGTGATAACCTAACTGGATATTTTGCATTTTTATGCATTTTCCTCAGTGCCCTTTCCGGACACCAATAACTTCTGCTGTACAAAAATCTTTATTTTTCAGATTAAACAAAAGTTGTCATCTACACTATTCCTCTGTCTGTATGTACAGTTCCTACTTGACTGCAATTGTTCAACTGCAAACCTTCCCCACCAATATATTCGTCATTCTTGAAAGCAGAATTGGTGATCTAAAATTGCACTTCATAATTGCAAATAGTGTGGACAGGCAGAATGTAAGAGCATCTGGTTCATTAAGCTATCTGGTTAAGGATTTTTCAGTATCAAAGAAATAAGAAACAAAGGATCGCACAGACACACAATCACTGTGAGCAGGTGGTAAGAGAGAACAGTGAAGACCAGAAGCTTTCTGCCACTGAAAGTTTCCACCAGGAACTGCTCTGATAGAGCATTCAAAAGGGGTAACCTGAACTCTGATCAATAAAGGGGGGAAAAAAACATGCTCATCATTTGAAGGGGGCTTGCAAGACCGTGAAAACCTTAACATACAGAAGGGACAGCAAAACATATTGCAATTGCAGGGAGAGACAAGGATCAGGGTGAACAGGGAGGTACAACTGTGAGAAGAGGCACATCCTCTGTTTGGGAGGGGCTGCTGGTTAGTACACTTGTCTAGCTGAGCACCTGTTCACAGCAGTCCATATTATCATCTTACAGAGCATTTTCCTAATGTAAATCATATAGAAAAATTAAAACATCTATAAGATGCATTGGTTCAATACTGTAAATTCATATTTTAAAAAAACATTTACCACTTAGGAAATCCACATAAGAAACATTTGTCATCTGTTTGCACATCTCTAATGGAATTCTACTCAACTGAGATACAGTCTTTAGTCATCACTACATACTACATCACCAGTGATGGTATGATTAGCACATTACGCTGAGAAGGAGAAATCATTCACAGCCATTTCTATATTGAAAAGAAACTGATTGCAGCTATCATTGGTATAGTCAGACAAATGGCACCAAATGTATTATAAATCCTAAAGATATCCAATGTTCATCTTTAAAGTCATACAGAGAAAGGTTAATCCTATGCAAAATCCTATGCAAAATCATGCAATCTATCCCCATCATGGCTGGTAGCAACCACACTAAGCATTTAAATGTCAATTGATGCTGGAGTGCATATTTCCTCCGCCATTACTGAAGCTCTGGTTTGTTACTGATTTCTGGTTTCAGTTACCGTTCTCTGTTTTTATCAGTTCTTTGATGATGCGTAAGACCTTGTCATCTGGGAAAGAAAACACACACAGTGACTGAAAAGAGTGAGCTTAAATACTGATTCCTAAACCCCAAGAAAATCAGAAGACAAGTCTAGCTATCAGCAACTTAAAATCTTAAATGTTTTAGGCTCAACCAGAATCTAAAGCAAAACAGGTGATTATAATTTGCCAAGCAAAAGGACAAACAGTTCCTCCACAGTACATATAAAATTACTCAATTAACCAATAGTAGCCATTTCAGTACTTCACAAAAGAGACTGATAAAGTGATGGGTTACCTACAGATACATTAGTACAGGAGCTCTCCAACTACTATATTATTCTGAACATGCAGTGTCTATCCCTTAACTTAGACAATTTGCATAACACTTAGAAATTATCCATGCCTAAGATTCTTCACACACAATCTTAATTCTGCTTTGAGATGCACAGCTCACCATTACTACCACCACCCTGAATGTTGTTATCAGGAATATCTTTAAAACAGCAGTTGTGCAGATCTTTGTAAATCTGGCATGAGCCACACAATATATGTACAGTTAGTAATGACTTTCCGGATGTCTTTCAAGGTAATGGAATAACATTCAAGGTCACACCAACCCCCCACTGAGTGAGGATGCCATGTGCTAATGATTTCTCAGATTTGCCACAAGGTGCACTTAACAAGCAATAATGTCAGCAATGTAGTAATAAAGTTACCTTCAAGTGACATTTTGGGATTTTCAAGCTTCTTCTTCAAAACAGACTCAATGAGAACTCTCAGCTGTTTGAAAATTACTGCTATCTTTACAGGAGCCTATA